AGGGGTCCCTCGGGGAGGCAGCGGGAGGCCCAGCATTCGTGGCATCGGCACTGGCCACGAAATCTCAAAGCACAGTGTCCCCCTCTACCCCCACAGTGATGCCTGGGGGGGGCCGGCCTGGGGGTGACACCCATGTCCTGTGCTTTGGGATCTTTGGGAAGCTTTGGAGGTCGCTGCCATCCGTGCATGGGGGCTGCTGCTTTGCACCCTCCTCATCCTCATCCAGCAGTGCCCCCCAAGCCAGGACCCACTCCTGGGGGTCACAGCTTCCCCCGGACTTTCCTGTGTCTGGAATGGCCATACCTGGTGTCCCCAAAGTGTCCCCAGGGTGTCCCCAGTTTCTTTGGGGCCCCATGTGCCAGCGATGCGGCTGAGAGCTCCCGGCTGCAGCCACCAGATGGGAAAGCGGCTGAAAACCACATGGCAAAGCCAGTGGCGCCGTGGGGGGACACACAGCAGGACCAAGACTCCATGGTGACAGTGGCTTTTTTGGCCCCGCGCAGGTACCACGACAAGCAGGAGGTGACCAGCAACTTCTTGGGGGCAATGTGGCTGATCTCCATCACCTTCCTCTCCATCGGCTACGGGGACATGGTGCCGCACACCTACTGTGGCAAGGGCGTGTGTCTGCTCACCGGCATCATGGTGAGTGCCCGGGCGCGGTGTGGGGGGGCTCCTCCTGCACCCCTTGTCCTGCTCCTGCCGCTGCCCTCACCGCTGGGTCCGCAGGGTGCTGGCTGCACCGCTCTGGTCGTCGCTGTCGTTGCCAGAAAGCTAGAGCTCACCAAAGCGGAGAAACACGTGCACAACTTCATGATGGATACGCAGCTAACGAAGCGGGTAAGGCCCCCATGGTGCCATCCCTCAACCCCAGCACTGTCAGACGCAGCAGGACCGGCCATCGCCATCGCCGACCCCCCTGTTTTCACCTGTTTCCAGGTGAAAAATGCTGCTGCCAACGTACTCAGGGAAACGTGGCTCATCTACAAACACACCAAGCTGGTGAAGAAGATCGACCATGCCAAAGTTCGGAAACACCAGCGTAAGTTCCTCCAAGCCATCCATCAGTAAGTGCCAAACCTTTACCTGCTTCCTACCAGGAGGTTTTTATTGTCACCCCCATCCCATCATGGCTCCCTCTCCTTCTGCACCCCCCAGACTGGGAGCCAGGGTGTCCCCATCCCCTGTCCCCCTGTGGGGACGCTTTCCCGGTGGGTGGGGACACTGGGGTGACCCTGGGGGTACCCCATCAGTTTGGTGGGACCACATGTGTCATGCGGCTTCACTCACACCATGAAGCAAGGCTGGGGGCTGCGAGCCCCTGGGTGCGTCTTACTTTGGGGGGAGGGGGACCTAGGGGTGCCTGGCTTGGTGGGAGGTACAGTGGGGGGGTGGTGCTGTGGCTGCTGTTGTCCCCCTGCCCTCTTCGTGGTGGTATTAAACCTGCCCTTGTGTTTTGTCTCTGTTCTGCCCCATCCCTGCAGAGCTCAGAAGTAAGTCACCCTGTGGGGCCGCCCCAAAACTCCCCCCGCTCCCCTCTGCATGGGCACTATAAAATGGGGGGGGGAATGCAGTGACACAGCCCCCCCCCAATGCTG